TCCCATCCCTCCACACGCTCCTCATTTCGACAACTACCCTTTCGGATTAACATTTATAAAAATCCCCCTGTCCGACTACTTACCAAAAAGGAACAGGCATCAAGTGAACTACGTCAAATGCTTTGTACATGAAACGTATATCACCGACATTCTTTGCCTTTCGTTATTGTTATTTTTATTTCATTCTGCGTGACGAACAGTGTACATTTTTAACTGAAATGTAAGCATATATGCTTACACAAGTTACAAATACAAATACAAGAGTTGCTTTACTTGCTCCTGAAAGTTTGTCCTTTACTGATAAAACAAAGTTTCGTTTTTATTTTTTGCACTTCCGATATTGCTTGTTGAAAATCTGTTCGCCGCTTGGTGAAAATCTGGTATAGAAATGACAAAATTCGAAGCACCGTATAGAATATATTTGTTATTTCTGGCATTATCATCACCCAAATTGAAAATCAAACGCGTACGTGAAATACTAAGATCTGATAAGGCTCCTATTGTGCTTTCTCGTTTTCCGTAGTGCAGGAATTAGATTATGAAAACCATACTTTTCGAAATGTTGGTTAAAATGTGCGTGTGCGTTTTAACAAGTGCGGTAAAATCTGTTTCCGACTTCAAAGCCTTTTGTCCTAACAATACATTATTGGGACGTATCACATAAGATTTCATTTCAGAGACTCGAACTATCTCACTGTCTATTGTGACGATAACTTAATGATTGGATTGAGAACCGACAGACGATTTGTTCAGAAATATAGTTCTCGCTGAGTGTGTTAATTTGCGTGTTTCACTTGAACAAAGCTACCCAGTAGTTTATGCATTCCTGGACCTAGGTGGTAAACTGAGCTACATTCCAACAGATGTATCCCGAGTCTATAATTGCATGACACCACTAATAGATTCCAGCTTCTTGAGCCGTTTGAACGCTCTGACGTGGTACTTTTCAGTTTGGCCGTGGAGCTTCAATGAATACCACATGAGGTCATCGGTAATATCGTGTTTCAAGACCAGTGTGGAAATAAAGTAATTCAGATTCAGTTCAAGGGTACACCGTGTTCCTCCATGCCGAGAGTATCTCAACACTTTTGCGGTGCGTTAAGTAATTTAGCTGCTGACTGCTCTGAAGCTGGTTTGCTTGATGAGTCAAGTCAAGCTCCGAGCTAATGAAACCTTTTAAGAAAATAAAATCAGTTCTCATTTAATGATATGCTTGAACACTTTATTCTTGAAACCCACGATTGAGCCGGTTATACTCATTAACCAGACTCGCCGAAGGTTGCTATGCTGGTAATCACAACGTGTTGTCATTCCTCGCTGTTCAACCTGAGCTGCAACAACGGTTAACAACGTTGTTCCTATATCTGTCACTCTAAGTTAATTTTATTACGTACATGAATAATTGCTGTAATTCAAATGAAGATGCTGAAGTCCCATTGAACAATATAGAAATTGTGTAGTGTCACAATTTGTCATAAGCGGGAGGTTGGGGTGGCAGTATAATGCTCATCATTGAGATGCGCTACTATTTGTCTCCAAATAAGGCTTTTTCATGTAACAAATCTTCACTTTTTTCCAATCCCTGTAACATTTTGCAGATTAGTCATGCCTTAGAGTTTCGACTCTAAGCGACTGATGTTGTCTCTGCAGTGTTGAGAGTTTAAGCGAAATTGGGGAACATCTGTCGCCGTCAGCGGGCGCTTTCAGTTTAGCAATGTACTACTGGTAATTCTTGATAAGTTCGATCAGAAAAATGATCGAGTGATTTCAAGTTACGTTCGTAACCGTTGATACCTTGAAGTGTCAATTGTTCATGTCATTGTGTGTATGTGCATCCTTTTTTTATCTATCAGACCGTTTACATCCCTGGAATGATGGATGCTCGATCGGAGGAGGGCGAGTTGTTTTACTCTGTTACTGGAGACAAATGGCTTTTAGCTTTCCGCATTTATCAGAATTTTTTCCTATTCATTCGGGCTAAATATTTCGCATATACACAAAAGACGTTTACGCGGAGCTGTACATTTTATCGCCATAGATTTTCAGGTGATCTAATGTAACTTATTTATTTTGTTCCCACCTAGACAATGGTGTAGAATACCCCGGATCGGGAAACGTGTTTCCACTTTCTTATTCACTGAAATATCGAGTAATTCCGTGTGCAATGAAGCCGTACCTAATTTTTGCCATCAGTAAACATAAAATCTGTGGTGTAATGAATACGCGGGACGAGGTTGGCCGGTTCATCAGTTACGTGTACTGAATAGTAATACCCTTACAGTATACAGGCGTTCCATTTCTGATTGACAACAAGTGTACGGTCAGTTCTTTCGTTGATCGCTTTGGGAACACACTGAACATTGCATCTCACTTCTAATTTCTCTTAAATAATTCAGCATGTGTTCTGGCAGCATGGTGTCAAAGAAAGGACAGCAATGATGTCAATGGTGGGAATGTGTACAGGTTTGTGAAATAAAGGTAAAGAATACAGATGATGGAGAACAGGAAGAGCAAATAAATGGATGACTTTTGTTAAACTGATTTTACAAATTTTGATTTTTTCTGTCTATTACGGGGAACGGGATTTCAACAAACAAACAGCACAACAATGGCGCCACTGACTTCTATTCGGAGATTCATCTCTCAGCGTCTCCGACCATAAGGAACCCTCATTCTATAATCCTTAGCCCGGAAGTTCAGTTCAGTACGTCTTCCCTCCTCAACCCATAAGACGTGCTGCACTAACCGAAGCCAATTCGGAGAATAACTTCGTCGTACATGTACGCTACTTCGTGGTCTGCTCGCCGCGGCGCTTCTCCTAGCCATGCACGTGCAAGCAGATCACGTAGAGGTAAACTATGGCCAGGCAGCAGGGGAAAAATAATCGAGTTGTTGACCGTAAGATAATGATATACTCGATATTCTCCTTCTTCTTTTAACAGGCAACCGGATCAGATGAGGCCCAGTCCTTTTCCACTCGGGGCGGCGAATTGAACAACCTACCCGTTTGTCCTGCTGCGAAGTCTCATCCGGAAGGAAACGAACACTCCGGTTCCGATTGTCGACTAACCGATCCGGAAACTCGTTTAAGTCGTCGCGAACGCACCCACTTCACGGTCGCCACCCGAGCAATCTTGGCTGCGGCATATGAGAAAAATCCCCGCCCTAAAGGTATTCACTGCACATCTTCGTTCACCACATGTTCGGTTGCTCACACGCGTTTTGTGGAGATAAAGCTGACGTTAGAAACAGTTTTTTCGATAAGTAGTTTGCCTGCTTCAGTAGTAGTTATTAGTCTCGGTCGCGTTTTATAACTGTTGCAGGTTGAGTTGTTGACGAAAGTTTGAGTAGGCCACTTTCAACGATGGCAAATGTTAGTTATTTTGTGCTTCTTGTTATCCAGCCTCTTCTGAACTACACGCTTCAATTAATAAAAGGCTTCCTCTAATATCCGGTAATCAATCTCATTTACAAAACGGGAGTGGGGGGGGGNGGAGGGGGGGGGGGGGATGGAGCGGAAAGAAAAGCGTGTGAGCCACAGTTCCCATTAAAACAGTTAGCGGGACGTTGTGAGAATACATTGCCTTCACATCACTTCACAGATGCTTATGTAGTTCGGGTCACTCTTGTTCAATGGGAACGGAGTCACTTCGTTTATTCTTCAAACTCAGGACGCATTACATGCGGGTAAATGACGGTTCCGTTAATGCAGGAAAAGTAAGCATTCACTTTAAGATGATATATATGTCTAATACACATCAGCATATCAGTATTTTCTGGCAAGGGTGTATCTTACTGGTCAGACAGCGTTTGTAGACCAACTCTGGCCACAGTTTTGTTAAGCAAGTTCCGTTCATCTTTTACTGTTTTCTGAAAGTTGTGTTAAGTAAGGAAACCGTAAAGGTGATATCTTTGTTAGTACATCACGTATCAGAGTGCACTCGAACTGCACACCATTTGTATGTTCCACTGAAGAGGGTGCTATCGTGTTTATTGCGACTAAGAGCTAACTCCATTACTGCCCGCTAGCATTACAGCGACTGTCGTAAAAGAAGCACGCATCCATCCGAATGTCCTACGACGCGTTCACCACATTAAAGCCCGAGTTCCTGGACTGCGTGTTCCCTGAGAAGCAGCACCGGTCAAACCGGAGCCGTCTGCGTCCGCTACTTGATCTAAAATGTTTAGAGAACCATAATAAACATTAATCTGATCTGGGATGCTTACAGAATGCTACCGCCACTAGTCAGTATCGTTTAAATTACCAATCCTCAGATGTCAATAGAAAGCGTCTCCAGATCTACTTATATCGGGAAAATTTGGCAGTTCAATTATATGATGCTCACTGTAGTAGCAATCGCTTTATCTCATCTCTGTCGTTCTGTGAAGCGCTGATGATGGTTCTCGGCGAGGGACATTAGAGGGTCATGGTAGTTGAAGAATTGTGTATTAGTGACCACAATTACACGCGGATACTTGAAAGAAAAAATGACGAACGAGTCACGAGGCATACTTAAATTTAAAACACCATTTTTGGGACACTCGCGCGGATGTTATGCACCGATGCTTATTGAACCATACTCCATGTATTTCAAAGTATGCCGACAACATGCTTCGTAATCCAGGCAATTGATATGTTGATGGCGCTTTATGCGAACAGCGATCCTCGACTATGTACAACTAAAAATCTAGTGGGAGCAGTTAAGAGTGCATTGGAATCTATATTGGATACTAACTCGTAGGCATTTATGGAAAGCTTTCTAATGCAAGGCAGATAAGTTTTATATGCGACCACCACAGAATGTCACGTCAACTTGTTCGAATTGGGTGGTCTACGATGCTTCCTCACATACGTTTGTGTGTGTTTCAGTGGACTGACCTGTCTCAGGGTTGATGACCTTGACGCCTTTTCCTGCAGCAGCATGTAAAACCTTTTAAAATGTGGCTGATGATTTACTGTATACTTGTCTACTTTTATTTGAAGCCAAAGCAGTTTGCACTTCGAAGTTTTAAAGGAAAAAAGGATTTCGCATTAGAACGACACAGGTGGTTTTCAAATTACTTTTGATGCTTTTCGTCGTACTTTGGACCTTCGTTTGAAGGATAGTGCTGGATTTGGTCACTCAGCCACTAGACTATCACAGTTGAATTATTTTTTTTTTCATTCAAACTTCGCGTCTACGCTGTTTAATTGCATTCGTATATAGCTACATTTACTTGAGAGAACGATCTTCTTTCGTTTATCGTTTTCCATCATATTTTACCGGTGCTCTCCCACCAAAACTATTGGGGCTTTATGGCTGACGCGTTAGTTGTAGTATAACAAACCTCCCAAACCAGCACCTGTTGTTTGCAAGTTTATTTTTTATCTTTTTGTCCTTAACCTTTTTCTGTGCTGTTTGTTTTAGGTCAAGAGTTGACACGTCTAGCCATGGAAACAGGGCATAATCGAGAATCCATCCGCATCTGGTTTTGCAACCGAAGACAATTAACCAATCAAGCAAAAGGGCAGAAAAGTATGACCACTTGATTTATATTCCACGCAACAGCGAAACGTTGATTGGAAAATGCGCGCGCGCTCTTGCGTGCGAGACACCGAGCACATGGGACAGGTAGTCCTTTCTTCGTGTCAAACTTGTGACCGTCGGATTTCGTCAGTTGTATGGGAAAACAGTCCTGGAAAGACAATTCATCATTCAGCTATACAGAAGCAAACAAATCGCCTAACTTAGAGATTGTTATAACGCATCTTCGCATTTATTTCTCCTTCAAGTTTCCATTTTTATGTAAATAATGAATTTGTACCAATGTTGAATATAAAGAAACATTATGCAACATTCTGGAACTTTATTCAGAACCGTGAGAACGCATGTGGCTTTGCAAAGATGGCCTGCTCCCAATGATTTTTATCTAACCTAACTGTAGACAGTGAGTGTTGCGTTTGTGTCTTGGTTTGAGTAACTTGATGTTCGATTGCGTTCCATTTTAATATCGTGTTTGGTTATTATGTGAGTTTATTCCGCAGAAGCGGTTCAGCTCGATCGAGTGTTGCACCCATTTGAGATTGATTATAAAATGGTGAAACTGAGTGATTAGCATTGATGATTGCTATGGTCATGTCACCTTTGTGGTTCTGACCAGCAACCCAGCCTTGGTTACCATGCCAGACAGTCACCTGGGGTGGCGCGGTCACTCGGCCATTGCGTGGTCACACTTGGTCAGTGTACTGCGTTTTCTGAAGTGGTTACTTTACGTCGGCTGGCACCTTGGAGAAGATAAGCCAACTCCATGAATGTCTCTGATTGCCGCGGCCCATGCTTGGCAGTTTGGCTGCAAGATCCTTGCAAATATCGATCCAGTTGGTTTTCCATCGGCGGGTACCGTACACCGCCGAAGGCCAAGATGGTCGAATTCTTCAAATACAGCGT